TGAGCTCCCTGATCGTCTCGACACGTTTGTGCCGCTGGTTCTGAAATTTGTCCGGCTCCAAAACCGGCCAGCGACGACTGTGACGACCTTGCCCATGATGCTTAGATGCTCTGGATGCTCGATGTCGGTGTGCACGGGACCCTTATCCCCTTTAACCCCTTGGCATTCAATCCAGCGATCATGATCAGTAATGTACTTACTAGATCGGTGCTGAAACGCAATATACCGCCGTTCGACAGGAATCACCGCCAAACCTATAGGACCCTTAATTTCATCGCCCGAACCCTCTGCCCTAAACCCGAGGTCCTGAAGTCCGATAGAGTGAGCCTGCCTTATCGAGGGAAGCAGGCAGCCAGTATCAGCCATGTGATATACATATATATATATATATATACACACACATATATATATGTGTGTGTCTGTGATGGATGAGAAGGAAGGTTGGATGGATGGGTGGATGGTTGGATGGATGGATGGATGGACGGACGGACGGATGCTGCTATGGTATGTACGCATCGTGATTGATATATATATATATATATATATATATATATATGAGATGAGATCGTGATATGATATGGCCATGATATGACACGGTATGATCACATATTATGAAATATATGTTGAGATATGATGTGGTACGGTATGTTGCAACTATATCTATATCTATATATAATATCTATATCTATCTATATATATATATATCTACATCTACATCTACATCTATATCTATATCTATATATATATATATAGCTATCTATATCCATATATATATATATATATATATATATTATATTTGCATACATATGTATGCATGTATGTATGTGTGTATGCATGTATGTATGCATGTATGTGTGTGTATGTATGTATATGTCTTATATGTATTATGTAGAAGTCGTATCCCATCTACAAAAACCCACGATCCCTACGCCTAAACCCGAAGCCCTCAAGCCCGACAAGCTTTATAAGTCAGAAACCCGAAGCATGTTATAAGAAATATCACCTTGTGCCTCTGAGGACTGCGGTGTGGACATCTCGCCTGCAGAGAGTGCAGGCAAAGCGGATACAGGACAACGCCTGCTTCGGGATTTTCAGGCTTTCCTCTAAATTTTCAGACAATTTGTAGCCGGGCGCAATGGAAGAGGCGACCCGTGAGGGCTGCGGCAGTAGGCGCCAGGGGCAGGGTGGGTGGGGGAGGAGGCCTCGGAACCGAACCGTAACCGGAGGCCTCGGAACCGTAACCGGAGGCCTCGGAACCGTAACACAGGGCCTGGAACCGTAACGCCCCAAATCCCCTTAGGTGGCCCTACGAAAATCTCCGGTTCACGCAGGATATGAAACGTGGCAATGGATCCAACTGCACGGCTGCGGGGGCCGACGTGAGCAAGTTCATTGCCCAGGCTAAGGCGAGGGCAGCTTTAGCCAAGGGTGTTACGCCCACCCCGAAAGTAGCACCTGCCCCGGCTTCTGTGTCTGCGAAGTCGACTCTCGGTATGGCATTTAATAGGTATTTCGCAGCAAACCATCGGAGCTACAAGCCTCAATCTGCAATTTTTGCATGCCAGCCCAGGACCCCGATCAAAAGCCCGGACATGAAGAAGCCTCGCACCGGAGCAGAAGCTGCTGTGCCTACGAAAAGGTTGTCAACAAAGGGCCCGCCGCCTGTGCCAGCAGCGAAGGCGAAGCAGCCGCCATCCTCCAAGACCCCAGAGTCGTGTCTTTCTGCAAATTTATTATGGGTTTTGGGGTGTGACTTCCAGTTGCCTCTAGCACTCAATGCAACTCCGATCTATGTACTAGTATACCCTACACCCTCAATCCCTTAACCCCTGTCGACACTATGACTTCCTAGGCCCAAGTGGCCGGCCTCTAAAAGCCGAACCCTTGGATATATAATAATATATATTATATATATATATATATATATATATATCTATATATATATATAGACACCGAACCGTATAATATACTATATATATATATATATATATATACATATCCTTAAGAGCCATGTAATAAACCTTATAATGTCCGGCAGGCTCTAAACCCTACACCCTAAAATCGCAACCCTACACTTGGGAAAGATTCGGATTGTCGATGAGGCCGAAGTCTTCGACTACGGCTACTACTAGTACTGCTGAGACCTCTACGCCAGCACCGATTCGCCGGAGCAGCCAAGCTACAATTATTCATATCGCCCTACAACCTAACAACCCAATACCCGAAACTTTACAACATGCAGCTCTACTGGATGGTAGACATGGCAAGCTGTCGTGGATGCAGTAATGCAGGCATGCACACCTAGAAATGATCGGTCACATGCATACATGTTCGTGTATATATATATATATATATATATATCATGTTAATTAATTATAAATAAATAAATTATGTGTAACGGTTGCTAGATCTTCATTACAGAGTAGATACAAACACGTAGACAGAACAATGGATATGCAGGGCAACAAGCTATAACTACATATGTATATATGTAGAAATATAGGTAGCGATAAGTAATAGATCTAGAGAGTAGATACACACATAGACAGCTGTAGATGTCAATAGATCTACATGGCTGGGTCAGTAGCCAGCCAGGTAGGTAAGTAGGCAGGAGGTACGGGTATGTTCAATTAATCTTTAAAACGGTAAGATCGAGGTTGGACCGCTGCGGAGACCGGCAGCCAGGTGCCCTCGGCATCTCCCATGTCGACGACAATGACGCCATTGGGGCCGAAGGTGCTGGCGAAAGAGTTCGCGACACCCGGAAGCATGTCTGTGGATACCCCGACTGAGAAGAAGTGCGATGAGTGGTGGGGCGACGAGTCCTGGCACTCAGCCTGGGATGCACACGGCTGGGATTCATGGTACCGCCGCACCCCATCGTCCTGGGACGGTTGGGGTTGGGGTAGCGGCTCTTGGAGTGCAGGTGACTGGCAGGCCTCATCTGTGCAATGGGGCCGCCGGGGCGCTGTGGAGGAGATTAAGGCAGAAGAAGAGAGCCAGCCAGATCTGGAAACACTGCTCGAGAGAGCCTACGAATCTTATGGCGAGAGCGACAGTGGATCGGAGAAGGAAAAAGGCTCTAGATCTTTGAGGAGCCTGGATTCCGCCACCACCTTGGCACTGGGCAGTCTCAGCAGAGAGAGCTTGGAGGAACCGCCCATTGAGAAGGGCATCGAGACTGAAGAGTACATCGCGAAGACGGTTCAGGAAGACACGCCGAGCCAGCGGCCAGAAGACGAGCCGAGCACTGGGGTTCCAGAAGACAAGCCGAGCACTGGGGTTCCAGAAGACAAGCCAAGCACGGGGGTTCCAGAAGACAAGCCCAGCACGGGGGTTCCAGAACACAAGCCGAGCACGGGGGCTCCAGAACACAAGCCGAGCACGGTTCCAGAAGACAAGCCAAGCACGGGGGTTCCAGAAGACAAGCCAAGCACGGGTGTAAGCCAAGCACGGGTGTTCCGGAAGACAAGCCAAGCACGGTTCCGGAAGACAAGCCAAGCACGGTTCCACAAGACAAGCCAAGCACGGTTCCAGAAGACAAGCCAAGCACGGCTTCAGAAGACAAGCCAGGCACGGAGGTTCCAGAAGACAAGCCGAGCACGAAGCTTCCGGAACAGAAGCCGAGCACGAGTGTTCCACAAGACAAGCAGCAGAGTGGTGCAGACACGGCAGCTGGTGGCCAAGCACCCCCGCCAGTGCAGGAGGCGAACCAGCTGGTGCCGAACACCGACGACTCGTGGAGGAGGGACAAGTACGGTGTTATCCTATCTCCGCCTGCATTGTACGCCAGATTCTATCGGTCGGGTCGGAGCCTGTTTCTCAGAAAGGAATCGGGAGTCGCATGGTACGGCAAAAAAGGTGCATGATCTGTACACCTCTAAGGCCCCAAAGCGCCGCCAGAAGTTCGCCAGAAGATGGCTGATGCAGAGCGAAGAGACTTATCGGGAAATAGTGGAATATGCTTTAATGATAGACCTAGATATGATATGTAGCCGCTGTGTGTGTGTGTGTGTGTGTGTTATACTAACACAATAATATATGCATAACACGTATGTGCACACCTAGGCTCGGATCGCAACAATCGCATGCACGAGATGTACATGCACTATCTGTCCTGCCGGGCGGAATGGTCGAAGAGCACCGTGGTGATCACGATGAGGCCAGTGCATTAGTGATCAAGCAAGCTTATTAAGCTTCGCGATCGGCTAGCTAAGGTCTTGGACCCTACAGGCCTCAACCCAAAACCCTGAATGCCTAATAAACACCCCCAGCCGAAGTCTCAGAAACCTAGCAGAATCACGAGCTGTAAGGCTGAGGAGTGTAAAGCTTCATATGCTTAGGGGGTTCATGCTGGGGTTTCGGGCGGGGTCCGGGGTTTCAGGCTTGGGTGGCATCGGGGCTTATGAATATCGTTGCATTCAGATCTATATACTTTTAGGGCTCCAGTTACCTAAATAGTAGGTTACTAACCACATATTATATACCCCAGTAACCTACTATTTAGGCAACTGGAGCCCTAGGTATACTATCACTAACCAATACTAGATCATGAGCTTCGGTACTCGTGTTGGGACAACACATAGAATATAGGCGCTTTCCGGGAGGGGACAGAACATCTGCCTTTGAGTTTCAGGGATCGGGCAGCTAATTAGGGGTCATTAATTACTATAGTATGTATGAAAGCTAGCACCTAGAGCATCAGAACCCCAGGCCCTTGAGTCCTAAACCTTTTAATTGGTAAGGTGATAATTATGCAGTAATACTAGTATATTAGTTACAGTTGGGTCTTGGGTCGACTCATAGAACCCAGAACACCCAAGGCCAATGTGTCCTAAACTATTTGATATCATTTCTGTAGTGGCTATGCTGGAAGGAGCAAGAGGCAGAAGAAGCAGGAGGAAATCTACGTTTGGAAGACCCTGAAGTTTCTGAGGGCGGAACTGGGCGACGGTTTGGCCAACGACTTGTACTCCCGTCACCTCGAGATCGACCCCCGCATGACCGGCAAGCTGTTGCAGAAGCACCCGAACTTTCCGAAGGTTGAGGAGAGGGGGCTTTGTAGTAGGGATTACGGCTCTACGGTGGGGCTTCTGGATTTCGATCCATACCCTAGGGCTCCAGTTACCTATATAGTAGGTTTCTAACTTTATACTATATACCCCAGTAACCTACTATTAAGGTAACTGGAGCCCTAGGGATAGCCCTTCTAGATATCGATGTGCAGGAAATGACCTTGCTAAAGAGCTTCGACACGATCAAGGACATCTCCCAGAAAACCTTTGAGAATTCCGCCGAGTTCCAGATGGAGGCAGAGAATGTGGATGAAGAAGACATGCATGATGCAATGTGGCTTGTCGGGTACTAGTACTATATACACTCGATGAAATCAAACAATCGTGTAAGTATATTTTGCTAGCTGCTGATCGTGTGCCAAGGGAGGCCTTAATGGACCAAGAGATGCCGCAGGCGCCTACAGATGGCAATGTGCCACCGCCGAACCCCAAACCCCGCGAGCCGAAGAAGGCAAAGAAGGAGAAGACTTGGAGGGACAAAGCCCAGGATGCCACTTGAACGGATTGCATATAGATCCCAACCCCCTAGACCCTAAACCACGAACCCCAAACCCAAAACCCCAAACTTCAGAAACCTTACAATATAATATCCTTACAGAGCCCGCATAGACCCTCGATTTTATAACCCCAAACTCCTGCAACCTTAAGCCCCCTAGACAGTACGATGAAACCGTCGTACATAGCTGCTTACCAAGGCTGATAAGCGGGCGAACAAGGAGATCATTGAGTATGAAGGCTTCAAGCAGATCCTGACCGCTGCTGGTGTGCACCTGGGCCCATAAATTAGACCTTAACCCTAGCCAACAAAAGGTATCCTATTATATAAATATTATGACTCTGCAGTATCCTGGCCGGCACCCTGAACAAGCACTTCACTCGTAAACCCCTGAGCCCTTAATTAGCAAAAACCCGAGAGCCACAAGCCCGAGGTCGCCCGAAAACCCCTGGGACACACATCCCCGAAACCCTCGTCGTAAGCCCTGGGTCATAAGTCCGAGATCCTGCTGTCTTATGCATTATCAGAAACTCGTCAAGTAGTCAAGGGTTTATAGGGTCGGTACACACTACCTATGCATCATTCCATCAGTACTGTATACGTATATGTGCATCCTGATTTACTGCAGCCTGGGATTGGCAACTTCAAGCTTATCGCTAGGGCTGGCTTATTAGGCAGTCTCTATTAATTGCCGAGTAGAGAAAAAGAACTCTAGAGATCCATAATTATGAGACTCTAAATCCTATACTCTAGGTCTAGAGCCTCGAACCCTAAACCCCAGACCCCAACTCCTATACATACCTTATGATCCCCTAAACCCCAACCTCTACAAACTCCTAAACTCGCGGTCTTATTCGAACCCCAAACCCCAGACCCTACAACCTTAAACTACCAGCATTGTCCCAGGGCCAGCCACATGAAGGCGGCCATCATGGCCGATGTGGACCCCGCGAAGTGCGACCTGGAGAAGGTTAAGACTAAGGTTGCGATTGCCATCGGCCAGAAGCTTCCGGAAGATTCGATGAAGCCTCTTTTCCATGTCACCTGGCTAAATACCAAACTTTGTCGATGCAACACTTTCATACAATATGGATACCACACTGTATGCTGTAAGTAGTTAAGGAGCTCGAAGATGCCCTGAAGAAGTTCAGAACGGCCTCTGAGCCGGTTCGTGCTGCTGAGAGGAAATCCAATGCTGCTGCTAAGCCACCAAAGGCAAAACCCAAGGCAAAGGCGAAGGCAGGAGCAAAGTAGTTTTGCAAATGATCAGACGAAACCGTCGGAACAGATCATACGCACTCGTGGAGGGCACGAACATCCTTCTCATAGGTGCTTGTGTGCATGTAGGGCAGAGGTGTAGGTTGAAAACCGTTTATGGGTCAGGGGCCGGGGCTGCTACACACAGTACAACCAGCTATACCCTGGACCTTGAATTCTTAAGCGCCAGGACTGTTACACTATGCTGTCCTAAACCCTAAGCCCGGGCCTCAAGCAGCTAGCCAAAGAATCCTACCACTAGTGGGGTTGCAGCACTCAAGCTCCGGAGAGGGCGAATCGTGTTGTAGGTCTGAGTGCTTTAAATAAAGGGGACAACGAGGAGCGAGCCTCGTGCAACTGCTGCAGCCGCCGATGCCATAAACAGAAACCTCGGCCGGGCGGAATGCACGTTTGAAGCTTCAATCTAGATCTGCTTGTGGGTGGATTCGTTTGATTATCCGGCCCTCGCCCACCGCAGGGATCGAGCTGGAGTCTGATGGCGATGAAAGTTCTGAGGAGAATGTTGCACTGGCTACTCACATGTGCGATCCCCGGTAATTCCGTAGTTGCTTAGCTTGTCCGGGGTGGCTGGGTGTGTTGACATACTTTGTAGAAGCTTAGGTTCAAGTCGCTGGGCGAAGGTCGGCAGAGTGCCAAAGCCATCGTGGAAAATGCTTATGCGGCTGTCCAGGACCAAAGGGTGGGCCGTAGAATAACGAATAATGCACTTGTGCACAGGCTGATCATCTGTTTCTGAAGTGCATACTGCAAGGAAGCTGGAAACGAGAATGTGAGTCCCGTCACCGCCCGGGTCGCAAAGATGTACAACCACAAGCGGCTGGCGAACTGTGATCGCGATTTGTTTCGCTATTTGAGACTTCCTGTCGTGCCCTGACTAAATATTCCAATCGATCCAATGATTCCTGTCTTACAAGTCATATAGTTCCCTGACCACTTAGGACTTCAACTGGGTTACCGTACCTATCCTCCATCCTGAAGATCCAAAACAAAGGGTCGAGAAGGCTCTGCCGTTTCTGGATCCCCACGAATACATCGAGTACATATGGTCCACGCAGCGAATCTATATCCCTGACGACGAGATCGTGCATCTAGGTCGAAACCTATTTCTTAATCGCCCAAGCCTGTTAGTGAAGCACTCCCTAAATCAATCACAATAGCTTTTAGCATCCCTTGAGGCGGTATTGGAATCACTTCAGATCCCGTGGTGTGGGCTGGGCCGTCCGGCATCCTGCTGACGAGCACTGCATTCCCATCTCTGCACCTCGGACAACAACTATGCACCCTTAGGGGCCCCAGGTCCTTGGAACCCCAACTAACAATATTTCGCATACCCTATAATCCGGAATCCCAAAATCGCAACCCTTAAGGGGCTTTCTATTCAGGTCTATGGGGACGAGGCTCAGTTCACGAAGCAGGGAGATTCGTTTCTCGCACTGATGTTCACTTTCACCCTGCACAAATGCAAAGGCCGGTGTGAATCGGGGTTTAGGACATATTCTTCTCTAAATACGTGGTCTAGCTAGCTGATCGCAGCCCAGCCTTATCGTTACGTCATCCCTGTAAAGGCGAGCCATGGAAGAAGAACTTTACATACTTTGTTGTGAACTCCT